TCCATTGCCTTCAATAGTCTTTAAAGCAGGTGGGTAGAGGACTGGCGATTTAATCCATGAGAGAGAGAGAGAGAGAGAGAGAAGCCTTATTCCGAGATTATTTATTTAATTAATTGTATTAATTATTATTCACTTATTTAAATTTATATAGCCACCGACTCACGCAGGGCAACTCTAGATGGGTCAAGTTCCACTGACTAGATGGAAAGAATTAACAGCCTAGATAATACGCCAGTTGAAATATTCGTTTTTTAAAACGCGGGGAGGTTTTTTTTTTTTTTTTACTTTTTTAAAGGTTCATTTGAACTCAGGCCTCATTTTAAAAAGAAAGAAAGAAAGAAATCCAGAGAGACCGGGTTCAAAGTAGGGAGCACGCACATTGGGAAAGGATCCGCGTCTTCCCTCCTCCCCGCCGACACGGGAATTCTCCAAGACCAACCTGAAGCGGCGGCAGCGGCGGCGGCATCGCCCCTTTGGGCTCCGCATTAATCACACTGACACTTCCATTCATCCGGTAGCCCCGGGCGGGGGCGTTAATCGCGGGCCCTTTTTTGAGCTGTGAAGGGTGAAACGTTTTGCCATATGCTGAAGCTCCCTCTCTCGGAGCGAGGGAATTAGCCGACCCGTAAGTCCTGGGGATGGATAGCTCTTTCCACCCCGCTCAGCAAAGAGAGGCGGGATCAGGCTCTCTGAGGCAGGCCAGAAGCCGGTGCTTGCCCCCCCCCCCCGCCCAATAAAATAGATAAAAGGGGAATATTATTCTGCGCCAGCCCTTGCCTGCCATGTGTATATATGTGTGTGTGTCTATATATATATTTTTTCAAAGGCAATGCACTGGATCTCCGGTTTAAGTCACACCACGCAAGCACGGACCTAACACTTTGATGGATACCGAATAAAAGGCATATTTTCTGCGTCGGCTTAAAAAAGACCAAACCCCCCCCCCCCCCAAATTAAAAGCAGGAAGCAGCCGGTTAAGGCTCGTTCCCCCGAGAAGAGGGCAGGGAAGGATCTGGTGCATCTTCTCAGCAGGGAATCCCCCGCGGAAAGCCTGGCCCGGGCACCAGGGGGAAAATCTAAGATATAAGCTCCGGGGCTGCCAGTCCCCCCAATTAATAAGACTATTTGGCGATTCCGTAATCCGAGTCCAGCTTGGATCTCAGGGCCGCCTCTCGAGGGCCAGATCCGCGGGGTTCAAAGGAGCTGAAAGTCTCCGGGGAGAGTCCCGGAGCCTTTCCTTGGAAAGCAACCATCGGGGTAACCTGGGGGTCTCAGGGGGGAAAAGAAGGGCAGCAGAGGAGAGCGATTTGGACTCGAATAGAATTGAGTCCCTCCAACCCTGGATCGTCCCGTGGTTAATTCTACTACCCCTGAACGTTTCCAGGGTTTCTTCCTGCTGGGTCGGGGGCTTCTCTTAAAACTCTCGGCGAATTGTGTGTATGTGGGGGGGCAAAGAACGGGACTGGGCGCGACGTCCCTGTGCGGAAAAAGTCCTAGAAAAGTGCGGGCTGAGGATTTCTTCCCCCGCCGCAGAGTGGAGTCGAGCTCCCACTCGGCGGAGTGGAACGGGGTCGGCTGGACGAGTTGTGGGGGTGGAGGGAAGAGGAGGCTTCTCTGGCGGATAAAAGGGGGCAGTTGAATTGATGCTCCAGGCCGAGCCTGGAGACTTTTCGCGCCGGCGATCCACAGTATCGTCAAGACCCTCATTTCAGGCCCAGGCGTCACTATTGCTGCTCGGGGGGGTAGGCCAAAAAAGTCAAAATGGCGGTCACGACGTCGACGCTGTCTTGTAAATACGAATAGAGGATTCGGTGGCACTGTCGTGGCCGCCATCTTGACTTTTCTGACCATAGTTGGCCGGCTCCACCTCAGCCCTATTAAAAACCCTTCTTGAAAAAATTAGTGCTAATTAATTTGGTTTCCAAAAGGCCGGAACCAACTTCAGGTCGGATGCTTTCCCTCTCCCTGTCTTCGGGACCCCGAGGACATGTTGTGGTAGCAACGGTCGACTCACAAAGGTCTCGGCCCTGTCGGACAAAGGATGCTTCTCACGGGATAGGCAAACTGATGAGGTAGAAACACCATCTGACACTAAGATTTCATGGTCATCGGAAAGTGCCCAAGAATGTGGTTCCGGACACGTTTGTTATATATATTTATATTAGCCTCACACTGACGTTGTATTGATCCTTGGGATGGCTTCTTAGTTTTTAACTCGGTTATGTCTATGGAGATTCTCAGTCAACTTGTCCCAAACCATGATCTGGAGACTGAGAATCTCCATAGACATTTGGGGCTTAGCCTGTTATATGAACCCAGTCATTTATGGTTTTGTAACTGGAGGGCTTAACCCAGTGTGCGCACCAAGGTTAAACAAACTCCGGGCTAGTGCAAGGTGTAAATCCGTGCACGGAGCGCCTTTTGATAGTATCCTGAATTATAAATAAAACAAATATCCGGTTTCTCTTATTTTAACAGGGACCGGACATCCAAGCGACTATATTTAAGGGACCCCGAGGTGCCGAGTTTGCGGAAACCCCTGGAAAGAAGCGGGGGAGAAACGCGCTTGGCTTTATTCCACGACTGAGCGTGTGGGATCTCTGAGCCTCGCTTGCTCTCTCTTCCCGGGGAGCCTCCGAGGGCGGCTGGTGCAGATCTCCTCCCCATCACGAGGCCATCGCTTCATTTTATCCTAGTTGGTGGCATTGCGGGTCAAAAAAAAAAAAGAGAGAGAGAGGGAGAGAGAGAGATGTCCCGCATCTGGATCCCTCGAAATCTATCCCCCTTCCTTCATCGATGCTTCTTCGCCTCGCCAGGGTAAGTTAAAGCCGGGCGCGGCGGGATCTCTGGCGGACGAGCAAGTAGGACCGACCCCACTTAACGGGGCGAGGGAGATCGGCAGGACAGGCGACCCCGCAGTCGCTCTGCACTTGAGAAATATTTGGGAGTGGGCGGGACCTTCCTATTTGCTTAGTAAGCAATTCTTTCCCTGCCCAGCAAGGGGTGGGGATGGGGGGGTTTAAGCTGCCTGGAGTCTCATCGCCAACAGACGGGACTCTGGGTGTTTCACCTCCGACTTTTCCCCAGACCAGCAACCCCCAACCTTTCGGGTACCAGGGACCATTTCCATGGAGACAGTTTTTTTCCCCGCGGAATGGAGGGGGCGTAGTTTCCTGTGCTGCCTGCATCCCACGGATAAGACTTCGCTTGTTTGCCTGGACCGGTTTTTGGCGTGCCGCGGGCCGGTGCCGATCCGCGGGCCGGGGGTGGGGGAAGGGTTGGGGGCCCCTGCCCGAAACGACTCTGGGTGACTTCTGCCTTCTCGCCAAAGGGGAGGCAAATCGCCTCCTCCGGCCGCCTGATGAAGGCTGATCGCGGCCAAACCCATCAGGACTCCGCCAGACGGGACTTTTGACATAAGCGGCATCAACTTTTCGCCTTCTCCGGGAAGCGGGGATTCCGCGCCGCCTGCTTAAAAAAGGAGCTGCAATCTGGCCAGGGAAAAAAAAACGAAATGGAAAGTGAGAAATGGAAAGTGAGAACCAAGGCAACCATCGCCCGAACGTCTCCACCCCCCTCCCCCTTCTGCAGTTTTCTGTGCATGGACGGGACACACAGGAACTTTCAGTCTCGGCCACGAATCGAAACGCTGAAAACAAGGGAAACCTCGGAAGCTGAGCGCAAGGGGCTTAAAAGGCGAATGAGGCAAACCGCGCCTGCGCCCGGCTGTCCTGTCTGGGAGGCTGGGAACGCGTCGCCTCAATCCCCGCCCTGCGCTTTACTGAATGGGAGGCGGAAATGCGCTCACTTTTCATCAATGGGAGCCAGGACCGGAGGGGAGGAGCCAAGGGTTCCGGCGGCACCGCCCCTTCACTAGGCTGTCACCCCGCCTCCTCCTCCTCCTCCCTCCTCCTCTGCCCTCAGATACACACACTGGCCATGCATCAAATAGGCAAGCTTAATGCCTTTGCAAACACAGAGCGCGCAGCGCCCGCTTCTCGGTGACAGCCGGCGGAGGTAGCCGGGGAACGAGCCGTCCAGATCGCGCTAGAAATGTGTACCACCGCGGGCTTCCGCGCCGGCCCATTCCGAAGCGCTCGCTTCCTACGCCTTTAAAAGTTTACTTTCCCGACCTTCCGCCACCCTCGGCCCCAGCAGCCTTGCGATCGCAAGCGGGAGGCGGCGCAGCTGGAGGAAGGATCGGCGAGAGAAAGTTGTGGCAACTTTGTGGCAGAGGCTGAGAAAGGACGGCGGAGAGAGGAGTTGCCGCCGCCGCCGAATTCTGGCCCCGCGAAGCCGAGCGTTGATTCAATTCTTGGCGGCCGAGACGATCGCTTTCCCCGCTGGCAGCAAGCGGCCGGTGCGTGGGAGAATCACGCGGGGAGTCCGGAAGGAAAGTGGAGAGCAGGCGAGGGGAGGAGCGCCCGGCTTCCTCGGCCGATTCCAGGGAAACTCGGCCATGGCAGGCGGGGAAGGGCGCCTCCTCGCCTTCTCCAAGTAGCTGGAAAATTTGCACGGAGCGAACCGGACAGGTGCCGGCCGAGAGGCCGGCCTGGCAGGAAAGAGGAGCTGCCCTGGGACGGGACAATTCCGTGTGGGCGTCCCTTGAAAAGCTGGATTGATTTGGCCGCGGATTGAACTGCATCTTCCCCGACGTTGCCCGGTCCCTTTGCCTGATCGAAGTCGACTTCCTCGCTTCTCGTCACCCGCGGAGGCGGCGACTGCACTCTCTTCTGGGCGGCTGTCACACGCCCTTCTCCCGCCAGGAGCAAGGTAGAGGCCGGGCGGACTTGAGTTTTAAAGGGAACTTTCCACTGCCTTTCCCTGAACGGCGCGGGGCGGAGAGCCTCGACGGCAGAAGAGCGGAGGACCAAGACGACGGTGCGAGGATCGCCCCCCCGCGAGGAGGAGGGTGGGGGAGGCAACCTCGGATCCTGCTCCGCAGCCACCATTGATTTCCTGCGGGTGGCTCGCAGCGACGGGCTGGGCGCTGCTGCCGCCGCCGCCGCCGCCGCGGGCATGGCCAAGCCGGCGGACCACGTGAAGCGGCCCATGAACGCTTTCATGGTGTGGTCGCGGGCGCAGCGGCGCAAGATGGCCCAGGAGAACCCCAAGATGCACAATTCGGAGATCTCCAAGCGGCTGGGCGCCGAGTGGAAGCTGCTGAGCGAGGCCGAGAAGCGCCCCTTCATCGACGAGGCCAAGCGCCTGCGGGCCATGCACATGAAGGAGCATCCGGACTACAAGTACCGGCCGCGGCGGAAGCCCAAGACGCTCCTCAAGAAGGACAAGTTCGCCTTCCCGGTGGTGTCCTACGGCTTGCCCGACGCCTCCGACCCCCACATCCACCCCCTCGGACCGCATCACCCGGCGCTCAAAGCTGGCGCCCTCCACGGCCACGAAGCCCTGCTGGCCAACCCGGAGAAAGCTGCCGCCGCCGCCGCGGCAGCCGCCCGCGTCTTCTTCCCTCCCTCCGCCGCTGCCGCCGCAGCGGCCGCGGCAGCAGCGGCGGCGGGGGGCAGCCCTTACTCGCTGCTCGACCTGGGCTCCAAAATGGCAGCGGAGATCTCCTCCTCGGCGGGATCCGGTGGCGGCTCGGCGGCCGGACTGCCCTACGCCGCCTCTTCGCTGGCTTACCCGACGGCTGGAGGCGCTTTCCACGCCGCCGCGGCTGCAGCGGCCGCCGCCGCGGCCAGTGGGGGCCACAGTCACTCGCACCCGTCCCCCGGCAACCCCGGCTACATGATCCCTTGCAACTGCAGCGCCTGGCCCAGCCCGGGACTCCAGCCGCCCCTGGCCTACATCCTGCTGCCCGGCATGGGTAAACCTCAGCTGGACCCTTACCCGGCGGCGGCCTACGCCGCGGCCCTATGACAATCAGCGCCCTGAGGAGGAGCCCGGTGCCGAGAAGAGCCGGGCGATCTCGCGGGGCCCGGACTGCAGCCCCAAGTAGAGCGCCGGCCGTCATTCCCGCTCCGCCTGGCTCTCCACGAGAAGCCCGCAGCCTGGCGCTTGGCTCGCCCTCTCTGCAGCTCCGGAGCCGAGAACGGAAGCCGGCAAACCGCCGGGGACCTCTCCCGGCTTGCTCCCCCGGCATGGCTGGTGGGGTCGAGACGTCGCTGCTTCCTCGAAGTTTTCTTTCCCGGGAAGATCCCGCCTGCCACTGCAGGACCCGGTTCCGACGACCTTGGGAGTTGCTTTGCTTTCCGTTCCATTCCTCATCCCGCCCGCTTTCCTCTCCTTCGCCCCCCAGACCCACGTCCTATCCCGACCCGCAGTTCCGAGTATGTACTAGCCAAGTCCCCGCACCTCCGTCCCAACATAGTCGCGAGGTTTTCCTTTCAATCGGTGTTTGGATGCTACTGAGCAAAAAGAGAGTTTGCATCCGCCTCCGCACAAAGAAGCAGAACCCTTATACAAGACAGTCGTAGTTAAGGAGGCGTTTAATCCTCCCCAGAAGAGAAGCCGGCTACTGGCTCTTCTTCCTGCCATCCACATATCTCACCTGAAGTTTGTAAAATGTATACCTGTCCGTGAGAACTTTAGGTCTAAGGCTATATTATTTGAAAACTGTGGGTTTGGGTTTTGGCTGTGATCCTACGCCCACGTTGGCTCGCTGCTAGGGCTGGCTGCCTTCAAAGGGACTTGCTTCCCAATCAGACGAACGAAGAGAGGCTCACCCTCACCTCGCAAGTCAGATTCAGACGGCTGCGAGTCGGTCAAACTGCGAGTCACTTTTCCTGGTTGCCTTTTGAGTTTGCGGCTTTTTCTTTTTTAAACCGGACTTCCTATTTGAGGGAAATAATATATTTATTATGATGTCGATGTATCTCAGTCCTGTGTGTTCAAGAGAAGACACTTGCCCCCTTTTTTTCTCCCTAACTCCATCCTAAAGAAAATCCTTGGGTGTTCTCGTGTGATTGGCAGTCACTCCGCTTGGGTGGGTGGGAGAAATCTTTATTTTTTTAATAAAAGCATAAATATTCAGTTGCAAATAATGATTTTTGGAGGAGGAATCAAGCTCATTTTAAACAATTCCCCCCCATCCCAACAATTTTCTTTTACTTTTGTAATGTGTATATTTGGATTAATGTTTGTGAATCAACTTGCTTAAAAACAGTACTTAGGGATTCTTTCTTTCATTCTTCTTTCTTTCTCCTACTGTAATATAAAGTTTTTTTGGTTTGGAAAAAAAAGTTTTTTTAAGTATTGGTTTTAACATTTGACGTGTATAAATCAGTTTGCTGGTGTGCTCTAATTTAAAATTAGACGTCTAAGCTATATCTGTACAATTAGACTCCGACTTAACCACTCTGTTCATTTTGGAACAAAGAGTTTAAATAAAAGCCTGAAGCAGGGAAAAGAGAAAATCCTCTATTTCTTGTTGAGTTACTTACAAGATGCTAATCTCAATTGCCCTTACCTGCCTAGGCCAGGGGAAATGTAAGGTATACTCCAAAGGCAAGCTTTGTTTCACTTTTGAATGGATTGACTAGGAAATCTAAATAAGACCATTGTTGCCTGATTTATCCCATTTGAAATCGTGAATGGGAAAGACGATTTTAAAAAAAAAAAATCCAATCCGTCTGTTATCATTTGAAAAGGGAAAGGAGATTAAAAAGAATCAGCATTCATGGACTCACTTAGATACACAGCCAACTTGGAGCTGGTTTCCACAGAATCCCCTCACAGCAAAATCTTGTTGGGCTGCTCTTTACCCCTCACTATCAAAAGAGCTTCACAAACCCCTCGGGATTTATTCAGGCGTCATTGGGTGGTTTCTTATTTTCACAAAGATTTTATTCTGCACCCTCTTCTCCAGATTCTTCAGGGTTAGGCCCTCAAAAGATTTAAAAACAGCAACAACAATCCTACCAGAACAGGAGTGAAATACGCCTAGGATTCTGCCACTGGGTATTGTTTGCCAGGCTTACTGACCTCTTTCCCGGAGGGAAGAGCTGTGACACTTCAGGCTGCAATCTTTTGCACGCTTGCTGGGGAGTTTGGTTTGAGGCTTTCCCCCAGAGACAGTGGCCTACTTGGGGAAGGAGCTTCCTGAAGTGCCAAAGCCTTTTGTGGGGCCTAGCTTGTTCTTCATTCATGTGGGAAACAGTGCCAGGGCCCTGGATTCACGAGGTTTGTTTGATTCAGGCAAATTGGGGGTCCACAGGTACCAAGGCCTCAAGGGCAAAGCCCACTGGGCAGACTCTGATTAGGACAGCTGGTCTGGTCTTCAAACTAGCGCCTGTTGGAAAGGATTTCTGCTTCCCTTCATCCTCTTCCTTGGGCGTGCAAAACACTTTCTCTCCCCAAGGTGCACGTTAACTGGTGGGGGGGGGGGGGAGGCTGGGGAAAATAGATTTGGAAGAATATTTTCATGCCCTAACTCAGCTCGTTAAAATGATCCTGCTTCTCCCACATTTTTTTTTTTTGCAGCTTCTAAGTGAATTTGTATGGTTTGGAGAGATTATGCAAAACTAATTCGGACAGTCCAGGGGTAATTAGCCCTGACACGGTTAATTAAACTCTTTCAGGCTCTCCACCTCCACCCTCTTTGTGGCAGCCAGGGAACTTCCCGCTGATCTCTAGAAATCCCATTTTCACAGGCTTCTTGAGCTCGCCCAGGTCCTCCACTGCACTAATGCAAGCAACCTGTTGCTTTGGACATTAAGTCTCCCAGTGGTGAAACGCGCGCCTTTCCTGCCTGCCCCGCAAACGCCTCTTCAGCGCCTGCTAAAGTGGCGTTTCTAATCCCCCTTCGGGGCTGGAGAATCAAACCCAGGCAGAGAACAGAAACGGATTCAGATAATCAACTTGCCCTAGGAGAGTCTGCGCGGGTTAGAAAGTAAATCCACCGCATACATTAGGGCTTCAAATAATACACAATTGCAAACCAATCCCCCCCCCCCCAGCCCAGTCCCGCTTTGTGATCTTGTGTGTGCAACAGAAGGTAAAGTTTCTCTAGCGGGAAAGCTTTCCTCCGGATTACAGCCAAATGGAAATCTTTTATTTTCTGTGCAGCAGGAGTTGCGTGGTAGCTCCGTGAAAATGTTATTAGAAAAGCTTATTTTCAATTAAACAACGCGGTTCGGTAGATGTTTATTCGGAAGTAGATCCAAGAGAGTGCCATCTGATTTATTCCCGTTTAATTAAATTTAGAGCTGCACAAAGTGAATCGGTTTAGGGTGACTGCCGATTGTGACTTTTCCCTTTGCAGTCCGTTCGGGAAAGTGGCCAAATTCTCGAGCGATTACATAACACAGAGGGTTATAACTTCCTATAGCAACCCCCCCTCCCCACAATAAAGATGTTTCTTTCATTTTCTTTTATTATTTTAAATATATGATTGTCTCAGAGCTAGGCCACGGTTGCTTTTTTTTTTTTTCTTGAACAAACCAACCACGTGTTCCGAGACAGAACGCGGGGAGACCCTAAAATCCACGTGTTCCTCGTAGACCAAACCACACTTTGTCGTCGTCGTCGTTGTTGTTGTTGTTGTTGTTTTGTTTGGAATTAAATCTCAGTCTCCAAAAAAAACCCAACAACCCCATGTTCCTTCCTAGGAGAGTTTTTCCTCTCCCTTTCTACCCGTCCAGGATGTCACAGGGATTTATTTCTCCGGCGAAGGCCCATTTGAAAAGAGGCTGGGAGTTTTCCGGAAGGAACGCCGAGGAGGCGAGGATTCCACAAGAGAACGTCGGGCGCTCAACATTCCGTTAGAGAACGCCGCAAGTGGCTGAGATTCCGGAACGTTCGCTTTCTGGAGAGAAAAGAAGTGGGCCTCCCCGAGATCTCACTGCTTTTCAAGTGGGCATGGTGGCCTCCGTGGGGGACCCCGGGTGGCGGGATCTTTTCCAACGTTTGCCCTGAATTAGCCTAGAAGGCTTCGTGCCCCCCCCCCCACCTCCCCGGCCCATTGGCGTGGGGGGGGGCGCTTTGAAAAACTTATATAATTTCAACCTCGCTTTTCCCTCTCCTTTCAAACTGGCACCTCAAAAGGTCATTTCTTGCCTTTTCAAAGCCTGATATTAATTCGTTGACAATTTCCTTTCTCCCTCCCCCTCCTTCTCTCCTCTCTCCAGATCTCTCTCCTTTTTCCTTTTCTCTCCCCCCCCCACATCTCTCCCAGAGGAAATGGGAAATGAGGAGGGAGAGGGAAATGGTGAAAAGCGCCCCTTCGCTCCCACTCTCTCTCTCTCTCTCTTTTTGTCCTGCAGTGGGAGCCTTTAGACTGTCGAGGGTTTTTTTTGTGTGTGCAAGAACAAAACCCGAGGTTGGGGTTTTTGTGTGGCTGTTGTTTGTTGAAGTGGAGCTAAGAAAAAGCGGCCGGCTTTCTCCTCTTTGTGAGGAAACCAATCAGTAGTATTTGGAAAACTGTTAGTATTGTGCATTTCTTCTGTGACCATTTGTAAGGGCCTTCTTTTCACATAGATCTTTCTTTCTTTCTTTCTTTCTTTCTTTCTTTCTTTCTTTCTTTCT